GCCACTGATTACTTTTCTAAGTGGGTTAAAGCTATTCCCCTTCGTGAGGTGAAAAAATAAAATGTTGTCGACTTCATTCGTACCCATACACTACTAGAAAACACCCAATAAACGACGGAAAAAATCCGTCGGAAAACCCTGAAATTCCGTCGGAAAGCACCATCGTATTACATACTGTAGGAATTTCGCGATATTCCGAGGGAAATTCCGTCGGAAAGGTCCATTTCGACGGAATTTCCAACGGATTATGTTCTGTCGAAGTCAAGTTTAACTTAATTGGGAAGTTCGTCGCAAGTTTCCGACTGAAAATTCCGTCGCAACAAGCCAAGCTTCCGACGGAATTTTCCGTCAGAATATACCTCTTCCGTCGGAATCTACTACCTTCCGACGGAAAAATTTAATAGAAAAAAAAAAAAAGCCACACCCACTAGCCCACCCCCTGCCCCCCTACCCACCCATACCCCAGACCCACCCTTAACACCACCGACACCACCACATTCCCACCCCAATACCAAACCAAACCGACATCACCACAACCCCATCCCAACACCACCAACACCACCACAACAGCCCACCCACACCAAACCAAACCGACACCACCACAACAGCCCACCCCACCACCACCGACACCACCACACCACCACCATTAACCCCATAAAAAGCGGAAATAACCCCAAAAAATTCAAAAAACCAAACTTAAACAAGGAAAATTAATAGAAATGTATAAATATATAATTGTCTAATAAATTTTATAAATTAACATTACAATTACATATACAATTAACTAGATCTAAACACAAACCTAAATTACAAGATCTACAATTGATGTTTAGGTTGTTGTTGATGAAACCGGAATGAATATATAGTGAAATTAGCCGGCGACTTGGATAGATGGAGCACCAAAGCAACCAAAACAGTAGCCGCCGAGTCCAGCTCAACGATTCCAAGCCTCATTTCGACGCCGAACCTCAGTCGCCCCTTGAAAATGCGTATGGGTTGCGGTGAAAGAAGAGGTGAGGAGAGAGAAAGATAGGAGGAGAGGAGAGAGAAAGAGAAATGAATAGAAGGAGGAGATGGAAATGGGGCGGGGAGAGAGAAAGAGAAATGAAAAGGGAAGGGGGTAGGGGGTCACGGAATTCATTTAGGGTTTTGTTTTTGATTTTTTTTTAAATAAATTTCCGTCGAAAAAGGCCTACATTCCGTTGGAATTTTTTCTACAAATTTAAAACCGTAGGAAATTAATATGTTCCGACGGATTTTTATCCCTCGGAATTTTCCGTCGGGAGAAATTTTCCGAGGGAATATTCCGTCGGAAGCAATAAATTCCGAGGGGAAAAAAATCCGTCGGAATATTTCCGAGGGATTTTCCGTAGAAACTTATCTTTTCCGACGGATTTTTTGGACAGACCAATATTCCGTCGGAATATTCGAATTTTCCAACGGAATTTAAGTTCGTCGGAAAATGGCCTATTTCTAGTAGTGATATCATTTACAGGTATGGAATACCTCAACAAATCGTCACTGACAATGGAAAACCATTCGTCAACAACTTGATGAATAGCCTTTGCCAAAAGTTCAAGTTCACGCAACATAAGTCATCCATGTACAATGCTCCTGCAAACGGTCTAGTTGAAGCTTTAACAAAACACTTTGTAATTTGCTAAGCAAGGTCGTTGCAAAGTCTAAGCGTGATTGGCATGAAAATATAGGAAAGACACTTTGAGCATATAGGACGACATACAAGAATGCAACACAATCTACTTCGTACGTGTTGGTGTATGGTGTTGAGGCTCTCCTACCCTTATTAGAACTTCAAATTCCATCACTGGGAATTGCAATTCAAGAAGGTTTGACTAGTGATGAAAATGACAAGCTTCAAATGGCTGAGCTTGAGGTGCTTGATAAGAAAAGATTACAAGCTCAACAAAAATTACAATGCTATCAAGCTCGCATGTCACGCGCAGTCAACAAGAAGGTTCGACCTTGCTCTTTTCAAGTGGAAGACATGGTCTTGGTAGTAAGGAGACCTATCATTACTTCTCGTAAAACTAGAAGTAAGTTCACATCAAAATGGGATGGTCCTTATGTGGTACGAGAAGTTTACACCAATGGAGCGTATAAGATTGTTGACGCTGACGGGTTGCGGGTAGGTCCAATTAATTGCAAGTTTTTGAAGCGTTACTATTCATGAAGTGAAAGCCTAGAAAACTCCTAAGCAAGAGGATAAACTGCTCACCCAAAAAAAAAGAAAAAAAAAAACATTGTATGAACTACATTGGCTTGATCTTGCGAGATAACTTGTTTATTTAGCAAGTACGTAGGCAACTTGGAAAAAAAAAATCAAGTGCAGCCACATCAAAAAAAAAATCATCATTGTAATACTCTTTGCCCGTAAGAGTATAAACTGTTTACGGTGAAAATAAAAAATAAAAAATAAAAAAATTACTCCTGGCACGCAAGAGTATAAACTGTGTACGACAAAGCAAAACTAAAAAAAATTTACTCCTGATTTGCAAGAATATAAATTTTGAATAACAAAACAAAACAAAAAAAAAATTACTCCTGGCTCGCAAGAATATAAACTGTGTACGGTAAACAAAAAAAAAAAAAATCATTAGGACGTGCCTGCCATGAAGTCAATCTCTTGTTGGAATTTTGAGTAGACCAGTCTTAAGACGCAAAGTTCATAACGACTAGGCGTACATGACTTGATGTCTCTGATGAGTTCATAACAAAATCCTGACTCATCGCGACATGGGCGACTCAAATCTTCAAGTTATCAAACATGTCTTAAAGACGCCAAGTTCATAACCACTAGCATACATGGCTTGACATCTCCGATAAATTCATAACAAAGTCCTGACTCATCGCGACAAGGCCGACTTCAAACCTTCAAGTCATCTAACCAGTCTTCAGATGTCAAGTTCATAACGACTGGCATACATGACTTGACATCTCCGATGGGTTCATAACAAATTTGTGATCGCGACATGGGCGATAACTATTGGCTGCCTTGTGAATCTGTCATATGCACAACATTACAAAGAACAAATATATCATACATACAAAAAACAAATGTACATGTATGATATATACATGCAAATATCACATAAAGAGCCACGAAGCAGTATACATGCGTTAAAGAAAAAGTCAAGATTGCTTAGTGCTTACTGACGGGTTCTTACATTTTTTTTAAGCCAACAAAGATCCAAAATCACGAGAGCTCTTTTGATTTAGGTGCTGAACATCAATAATGTTAAGAGTAAGATTGATTAGTTTATCAAATTTGTGGTAAAACAAGCCAAATTATCAAGGAATTAAAGGAGGTTAGGAAATACAATACAAATATTAGGTGTTTGGGGTCCAAATAACTTTTATTTGGGCCCAGTCCATAAATGAAAATAACCTAAGCCCATTGGCAAGGTTCAACCCTCCTCTCTATATGCTAAGTCAGCAAATGGATCAATCCAAGTGGCAAGCCCATCTAGATTCCAAGGGCCCATGTCCCTTACTCAAGATAAGGTATAAAAGTCCAATTTATCTCATTCATTACATTCATTCACATATAGCCTCAAGCAACCAAATCTCTTGCATAGCTATTCTCTCTACTTTTATACATCGTACTGACTTCGGCATCAGAGGGGCCTTCCTCGGCACACCCCTGAGGCCAGTTTACGTGTATTTTGCAGGAAATTCCCAATCCGGACATCTCTCGGATTGGGCCTCCTCTCCTCTCGTACGAAAGGACTTTCCAAAGGTCCATTGTTTTCTAACCGAAAAAATTTGGCGCCGTCTGTGGGGACACTTACAAAAATCTAAGCCAAAAATCTCAAGCCTACCTTGGCCAACGCGAAAATGACTAAGAATGGTAAAAACTCTAAAACAGCGAGGAAGATGGGCGTAATCACGACGAGGATCAATAAGACGCCCTCACCGTCGACTGAACCATCTGCCTCTAACTCTCTGAAGAGATAGAATCAGTATGAGGGATCTCCTCCCCGACAGGTTCACCAAGTTGTGAGCTCGCCGAAAGAGAGTGAAGCTCATGAGGAGAGCCCTCTGCAAAGCGTGCATTCTCACTTGCATCCGAAATCAACTCCTCCTACCGTCCCTTCTACGGAAGAAGTAGCAAAGGCAGTTGCTGTCTACATGGAGTTCATGAAAGCCTTGGGTGGGCGCCTCCCATCCGTGCATGACACTCCTCCTTCACCCCCGCCGAAACCAAAAAGTCGTAAGAGAAAGTTGGTTCCAGAAGGGGAAGGACGAATTCCATCCTCCAAGGGGGAAGGAAGCAGAAGGGCCGAAGATTTGGCTAGAGCAGAGCGAGAACAAAGTAGGAACTCTGGTCAATTCGGAAATTCCCAAGTCCAAAACTCCAAGGACTTCCTAAACAGCCACAACGCTTCTCGCCGAAGTGCCTACGAGCGCTTGGGTGAAAGGGCATTCACAACCGTCTCACTTATCCCGAAGGCTCTCGCCCCGAACTGTCATGCGAAGGGACACCCCTCGCTTCCACCTCTCTAAGAGGGAGAATTGAGGTTTCTTCGGCTCGGCAGAAGGGGAAGGTCGTGATGGTTCCCACCAGTTCACCTTTCCAGAGATGGATATTAGAGGAACACGTGCCGACGGTCAAGATTCCAGCACACATCACTTACAATGGAACTTCGGATCTGAAGGACCACATTGCCTCTTACGAGGGGCACATGTACCTTAACCCCAGGTCCGAAGCTACCTAGTGTAAATACATCCCTACGACTCTCAAAGGTGTTGCCCAATCATGGATCACCAAGGGGGTCAAGGAAGGCTCTATAACGGGTTGGAATGATCTGTCCAACAAGTTCAAGAGTAAATTCTCTACGGCTAACCGCCGAGAGAAAATGACCGCAGAGGTGATGAGTCTGTAGCAATTGGAAGACGAAAGTCTCCGAGATTATCTGACTCGTTTCAGTAACGAGTCATCCAGAATCACAAGTCTGGATCAAGGCTTGGCCGTATTTACAATGCGGAACGGTCTTCGAGCTGGAAAATTTCTGGACTTCATGGTCATGCATCCACCGCAGACCTTAGAAGAAGCCCTCGATGCTTCGGATAAATTCATCCGGGCCGAGGAATGGAACAAGGCAAAGTCGCAGTCCCAATCAGGGATTGTGAAGCCAAAAGGCCAACCAGCCGAAGTTCCAGGATCGAGGAAAGGGAAGACGAAAGCCTCAGAACCTCCCTCGACCGCTGAGCCGAAGAAGGACAAGGCACCCTATACAGGGAGGTTCGAATCTTACACCCCTCTCACCTTACCACGTACTAAAATATTTAGTGCGACGAAGGAAGAGGGAAGATTCAAGAAGTCGAAGCCACCTCCTTCGTGGCATCAGAAGAAGGGGAAAGATCAATGGTGCAAGTTCCACGAATCCAGTGGGCATCGCACCGAGGATTGCCTCCAGCTAAAGGACCAGATTGAAGAGCTGGTCCAAAAAGGATATTTAAAGAAATACATCGCGGAGCGCCGCGAAGAAAAAAAAGCCGAGAGAGATTCTCGGCAGGATCTGGACTTCCTCCGAAAAAAAGACAAGCCGAATGGCGGGGGAAACCCTGACATTCTCACTATTTGTGGAGGAATCTCGCGGAATGCGCTGAAACGCCATTTGAGGGGTTTAGCCCATAAAATACACAATGCCGAATTTCGAAAGCCACAGTCTCCGGCGCCGAACATGATGTTCACAGCCGAAGACTGCAGGGGGGTGGTGTACCCTCACGACGACCCGTTAGTAATTGTGACGGGAATCGCGAACCACAACGTCTACAGAACTCTTGTGGACGGTGGCAGCGGGGCGAATATACTTTTTCGAAAGGCATTCGACCAGCTGAAGCTGGAGAGCAGACACTTAACTCCAGTTCCCTACCCGGTAACTAGGTTCAATGTCTCTTCTTCATACGCAGATGGGAAGAGTCTTCTTCCTGTCTCCCTAGGCCGAGACCTAGCAAAACAGTGCATCATGGCCGAGTTCATGGTCGTTGATGTCCCGTCTGTGTACAACGTGATTACGGGGAGACCCTTCGTTCACGATGTTCAAGGAGTCGTCTCTACGTATCATCAAACGATGATATATGTTTTAGACGAGGGACGCTCCAAAAAAATCTTCGGAAGCCAAAAAGAGGCTCGAAGGTGCAATCACCTCAAACCATCCAAAAGTCGCCGCGACGACAAGAATGATAAGGAAGAAAAAGAAAAAGAAAAAGAAAAAGATCGAGGTACTAAAAGGCCTAAGGGATTAAGTGCTTCGGCTTAAGGATCCCTAACCAAAAGATCGTCTTTGGGATTGGAAAGGCTAGTTCTTCGGCTGGGCCGAGAGACTCAAAAGAAGATCAGCCGAAGCCAGGGAGGTCTGCTGATATTGACAGCAGGCCTGAATCCGAAGAATCTGGCTCCAAAGCAGCGGAGCTAGATGATCAGAAAGAGTCCATACCGTTGACCGAAGGAGATACCGAAAAATGCGTCAGCATCAAACAAGGACTTGATCCGAGTTTTCGGGTTGAGCTAATCCAACTCCTTCGGGACAACCGAGACGTGTTCGCTTTCTCGGCAGCAGACATGCCCGGGATTGATCCGAACCTCATCTCTCACAAGCTTAACGTTGACTCTACATGTCGGCCCGTTAAGCAAAAGAAGCGGAACTATTCCGCACAAAAGAACCAGGATATCGCAGCCGAAGTCAAGAAACTTCTAGATGCGGGGTTCATCAACCTTGTCAATATCCGAAATGGGTGGCTAATGTGGTGATGGTTCAGAAGGAAAATGGCACCAGGAGAATGTGCGTTGACTTCACAGACCTAAACAGGGCCTGTCCGAAAGACTTTTATCCCTTCCCGAGAATCGATCAGCTAGTCGATTCAACAAGTGGCCATGCCCTCCTTAGTTTCATGGACGCATTTTCCAGGTACCATCAGATCTTCATGCACCCCGATGACAGAGCAACAACGGCCTTCGTTACGAGTGCCGGGGTGTATAATTACAAGATGATGCCCTTCGGCTTGAAAAATGTCGGAGCGATGTATCAGAGATTGGTGGATCACGTATTCTCCAAGCAGAAAGGCCGCAACATGGAGGTCTATGTTGATGATTCCATCGTCAAAAGCAAAGAGGCTAAAGACCATGTTGTAGACCTGGCCGAAACTTTCGCCACTCTAAGAAAGCATCAGATGAAGCTTAATCCGAAAAAATGTGTCTTTGGCGTGAAGTCGGGAAATTTTCTCGGCTTCATGGTTAGAAAAAGGGGGATTGACGCCAATCCCGCCAAAGTACAAGAAGCCCTCGACCTCCTTGAGCCGAAAACAAAGAGGGATGTTCAGCGTCTTACTGGGAGAATGGCTGCCCTGTCTAGGTTCATCTCAAGGGCCTCGGACAAAGGGTTACCCTTCTTCAAAGCGCTCAAACTTCCAAAATCAAAAGAGCTCGTATGGGAGGAAGAGCAGAAAACAGCCTTTCAGCAGCTCCGAGAACACTTAGCTCATCTCCCAACGCTGGCAAGACCAGCCGAAGGAGAAACTCTGTATTTATACGTGGCGGTCAGTCCAGCCACGATCAGTGCGGTACTGCTGAGAGAAGAAGAAAATATCCAACAGCTGATCTATTTTGTCAGCCATACTCTAACAGATGCCGAGACCCGTTACCCCTTGCTCAAAAAAGTTGCATACGCAGTGGTGGTAGCGGCTCTAAAATTGAGGCCCTATTTCGACTTTCATCAAATAGTGGTCTTAACGGATCAGCCGTTAGAAAAAAGTCCTCGGCAAAGTTGAGAAGTCTGGTAGACTAACAAAGTGGGCTTTTGAGCTCATGAGTTCAGCATAAGTTACCAGCCGAGGGCAGCTATCAAGGCCCAAGCCTTGGCAGATTTCCTAGCCGAGTGCTCTTATCAAGGGGCACTTGACAAAGGGAAGAAAATTTGGACCGTTTTCATGGATGGCTCAGCAACCGTTAATGGTTCGGGGGCAGGGGTAGTCATTACCTCTCCCGAAGGCAAATCCTTTGTGTATGCACTCAAGTTTTCATTCAAAGCTTCCAACAACGAAGCTGAATACGAGGTGGCAATTACTGGCCTAGAATTGTGCATAGCGCTGGAAGCCGAGCATGTCTGTTTGAAAATAGACTCTCAGCTCGTCGCAAATCAGATTCGAGGCAAATATGAGGCCAAAGAGTCCTCAATGATCTCTTACCTCGCCAAGATCAAAACGGTTATAGCGAAGCTGAGAACTTTTGAAATTGAGATGATCCCAAGGGATCAAAACGCTCAAGCCGATGCACTCTCCAAACTCGCGAGTTCATCTCTCACTGAGCTGAACCGGTCCGTAAATGTGGAGGTGCGTCGAGGAAGAAGCATCGACCAAGAGCCCGAGGTTCTTTGTGTTGCAAGCGAGCCGAGCTGGACGGATCCCATCCTTGCTTACAAGCTCCAAGGAGAACTCCCTGAAGACAGAATCCTTGCTTCAAAGTGTAAAAGAATCAGTTCAAGATTCATCGTCTACAACGAGGAACTCCTGAAAAAATCATTTTCTGCCCCACTGTTGAAATGTGTGGGTCCAACAGATGCAGATTACATCCTTCGGGGAATTCACCTAGGCATCTGTGAGAATCACATAGGGGGAAGGACCCTAGCCCATAAAGCACTTAGGGCGGGGTACTACTGGCCAACCATGATTGCTGACGCCAAGGAGCTAGTGAGAAAGTATGAGAAATGTCAAAAATTCGCACCAGTCATCCATCGGCCGTCGCGAAACCTTCAGCCAATCCTAAATCCTCTTCCCTTTGCCCAATGGGGATTGGATATTTTGGGACCTTTTCCTGAAGCTCCTTACCAGAAAAAGTGGCTGATAGTCGGCATTGACTATTTCAGCAAATGGATCGAAGCCGAAGCAGCTTCGAACTTAACTGAGCAAACAGTCAGGAAATTTATCTGGCAGAATATCATCACTCGCTTCGGCATCCCGAAGGTGTTTGTCTTTGACCATGGAAGACAATTCGATAATCTGCCGCTGAAGCGGTACACTGATCAGTTCGGAATAATAATGGCATATTCGGCAGTCTGTCATCCTCAAAGTAATGGCCAAGCCGAAGCCGCAAATAAGAAAATACTCAGCACTCTGAAACAGAGAGTTGAAGATCAAAAGTCCGAGTCGATAGAGGAACTTCCCGGAACTCTATGGTCACTTCGGACAACCGAGAAAGAGGCAACAGGACATTCACCTTTCGAATTAGTGTATGGATCCGAAGCTGTTTTGCCAGTGGATATTGGCTCAGAAAGTCTTCGAGTCAACCAGTTCTCAGCCGAAGAAAATGAGCATCTCATGAAAGAGTCCCTTGATTTCCTAGACGAAATCCGAGATTCGGCCAAAGACAAAATGACAGCATACAAACAAAGAATCAACAAGTTCTATAACCAAAGAGTCAAAGCAAGGCTTCTCAAAGTTGGGGACCTTGTTCTTCGGAATGCTGTCGCTGTCCAAAAAGGTCCCATCCATAGAAAACTTTCGAAAAACTGGGAGGGGCCCTATGAAATATATGATGAGCTCCAACCAGGAACTTATCGACTTCGGCAATTAGATGGAATTGAGCTGAAAAACCATTGGAATGCTGATGTACTTAAGAGATATCATGTGTAAAACCCGTTGTAGGAGAACAATCTATGTAAGTACATTTTATTCAGTCAATGAAAGGCCTTTGAGCCACCATTAGTCAAAATTTTATTATGTTTTCATTATTTCTGTCTTCATCGTTTTTGAAAAATTCAAGGTTTACACCCGCGCTGTCCGAAGTATTGCATAGTGATGCACTGTACTTCGGCAAGCCGAAGAACCTGCCAAAATGAGGGTAACGAATAGAACCTCGAGGTATTGCATAGTGATGCACTGTGCCTCGGACGATTCGTTACTCTTGGCAAAGAGGTCATAGGCTCATCTACGACATAGCCTAAAATAAGAATTGATAAAAGCCTCGAAGTATTGCATAATGATGCCTTGTGCTTCGGCAAGTCAATTCCGGGTGATGATTTCACCTCCGAAGTATTGCATAGTGATGCCTTGTACTTAGGATGATCATTGCCCTGGCACTGTGTCTCAGATAGTCGTTCCCTCGGATGAATTAAAACCAGGCAGAACATAAAAAACAAACATAAGTGTTGAGACTGTTATGGTGCAAAAATTTTACTAACCTCAGAACTCTAAAGACCTCATCTCCAAAATTCTAGGGGGGCAAGAGGTACTCACCCATCAAGCTTCAAGCCGAAGCCCAGTACTTGGAAAAAATTTATAGCCAAAACCCGAGTAAAATGAGCAAGGCAAAAAGAATGAGGAGACAGTACATTCAAACAAAGGGAATTCTCAGCCAAGTATTTTCTAAGCCGAAGCTTTACACTCAGCCAAATTTTGAAAGATTCAGAAAAATAACTAAGCCTTAAAGCCACTCAAACAGGAAAAGTGGAAGAAAAAGCTGAAATTCTACTTCATCATTCAGAAAAGTTTGGACTACAAATATCAGTTCCGAACATTAAGAAATTCAAAGTCGGCAGCCGCCACAAAGCGGAAAACACAGCTGCGAAAAGTACACAAAAACAGTTAAAAAGTTTGTACAAAGG